TCATATTTAGTTTTAATGCCAAACGTGCACACTTTAATGTACTCAATTTTTACGTGTTTTAACATCGTGGTGGCCCGGAGGTTTGAGACACCTTATGAGACGCTTATCATGCATGATGGTTCGTGTTCAAAACCTACCAACGGCTACCAATGTGACTTTTCCGAGTTATATGTACTACTTTCTAAGATTATTTAGATTCCACTGACAAACAGTGAAGGAAAACATCGTGAGGAAACCTGGGCTTATAATTTTTAATTATAAGTTTGAAATCGCCAACCCGTATTTTTTTATACTTGATAGGTCGACGTTTGGTCACCATCTCGCCTGGTGGTAAGCGATGATGAAGCATTGAACAAGCGTGGTGATTAATGCTCAAACCTTCTCCTTTTGAGAAGAGGCCTTTGGTCAGCAGTGGTCACTTATATGAATATGAGTCATGCCTCATCAGAGTAAAATTCTGTAATATGTGTCTGTGAGATTACAGTATCATCAATCATCAGCAGTCATCAAAACACCGATTAATTATCTAGCCCGTATTATAAATTAGTTTTATCTACGACACCCGCGGCAAGAACTGGGGTGGTGTTATTCGCAATCTGCTTTGCCTTACATAAGGACATGACTTATACATGAAATCATAGACTAAAATAAATTAGTTTTAAACTTACTTCCCCGCCGTTAATCTATTAATCTACGAGGTTTAAATAACCGGAAATATAATGCAATAATTATTAATTATTTACGCAAGACCCAGCTAAGGTAGCTGATAATTAAACCTTCAGATATCAGATATAACCGCGGGGTTAATTAAAAAACTCCCTAGCTCCTGAATACAAGCAAATATTTGCATTACAATTCATAGTTTTTTTTTTCGATCGAAAATATTTAAATTAGCTTTTGGTAGGTAAACGAAAAAGATTTGAAGTTTAGTTTAGTTAGTCTTGGTGTTTTAATCTGTGATTTTAAACTTTATGACTGAATTATAGGGTCTAATATCTGTTGAATGGTTTTTACAAAATGGTGTAGGTTAACATGCTGTTGTTGAAATTATTGGAATATTTTGATGATAATTTTTCATTGTTTTATGACTGAGTCGAAAATTATTATTAGTTTGCATTAGATAGGGTCGCTTTTACTTACATATTTATCTAATACTGGCTTCAATAAACTCATGCTTTCGTCTTCACACATAACACCTTTTATCCCCGAAGGCAGAGGTGCACTTAATGCATATACCGGGCACAATTCCAAACTGTGTGCTATTACTGTCATTTTTTAAACCCCTTAATACTTCACCCGACTCGGAAATCGAACCCGAGACCCCTTGCGCGACAGTCGCAATTGCGACCACTCGGACAACGAGACAGTCAGCTAATCAGCTTTGGTCCTCTATGGTGGAAAATACGATTATACGACACATGTCAACGGTTCTTATATAATTACCTTACATTCTTGTAATTACTCATACAAATACACCGGTATTACTCAGCAGTTGTTTACCATTCTCTAAACTCGACAGGAAGTTTCGAAATCACAGTTTAAAAGGTTAATTTTTATCATAACGTCGCCAGATCTCAGTCAAATTCTATCTCTTGACACCCACTGGAAGATTAGGGGTGTTAAACAATACTTTCCTTCCATCATCACATACGAAAATCTTACTCAAACATCACAAATCGATTTAAATAAACCGTGATTGGATCTTTAAAGAATAACAGTTTAAACAGTAGGTAAAGTCAGCCATAATTGATTTGCCAGAAAACTGATTCAATTACTATGCTATGTACACAATGGACAGGCAGACGACAGAGTCAGTCACCCTAGTTTTTTGCCGGTGGCGCAAGGGTTACAGGAGTAGACCGTCACACGAGTTTCGTCAGTCAGCCTTGAAGGAGCAGACGGGCGGGTGACGGGTGACACGCTGCGGTTCGAACGCTGCGTTTTAAACACTTGAGGCACTGTAGACTGAGGAGTAAAGTAATGCTTTTTGTGGAAGTGGAAATTAACAAAGGTATGCGGTAAAAATGGAAATATGAATTATTTTATTTTCGATTGACTTATAGTAAATTAGCCTACACGCCTTTTATCCTCGAAGGGGTAGGCAATGGTGCACGTTATACCACTGTCAGTACAATGTAACACACACTTTTCCCTATTTATGTTATGAGTCCCATGTAATAGGGGGCGAGCCTATTGCCATATACCGGGATTCCAGATTCCGTGCTACTACTGAGAATTTCTTTAAAAAAACCAGTAGTATTTTGCGCGACCCGGGAATCGAGCCCGACACCTCTTGCCCGGCAGTAACACTTGAGACCACTCGGCCAACGAGGCAGTTACTTCAAAAATAAAAAATACAATTTTCTTTAAGATGTGACTCGTGGTAGATCATATTGTTAGAAAAACAATGTTTATATGTTTTTTTAATAATTATCGTGAGACATACTAAATTAAGTAAAAACGCGGGTTACACGGTAACAGTGAGCTGCGCGACGTCGCCGCGACCGCGCACGCTGCTCATGAGCAAGAACCTCTCTGTGGTTCGAAACTAGTAGAGCTTTTCTCAGTATATTCACGTGAGTAACTCGCGTTTTTACTTAATGTTTACATGGTAATTCGCTTCATCATTTCCTAAGTAATTGTTCAACTGCTGTCTGTTACAAAAACTCAGCGTTTCGAACGCTCGTTTGTATAACATCGCTCTGATAATTCAAGATTTCACGGCACGGTCTTCGTTTTAGGTGTCGATGTCACTAATGTGGATAAGACATCCAAATTTAGTTTAGTGGTTTTATGGTTAGCTCCTTATTTCTCCTTAGCCTAGCTTAACCCTTGGGGAGCCTGGTAGGTAAAAATCACATGGCATGCCTGGTGGGTCTCACAGATCCGTAAATATAAATGGTTATTTTTATTTATTTTGATGTTATAAACTATAATAAACAGTTTGTAATTTATATTAAATATTATATATTAATGAAAAAAGAGAAAAAAAGACGACAATATATTATTATAAAGTTTTATTACTTAAGCAAATAAAAAATCTCTCATTTTTGGGTAACAATAACATATCCTTAAATTAACAATATTAAACTCTTTTTAATTGAGATCAAAATCAGTCTTCACATTAATATAAGGCATAGATGAATAAACTTTGGTTACTAAAGTAAGATTAACTCAGTATTTGTGCGACAATTTTCGCATATAAATTTGCGTGCTCCAATCAAATATGACCTGTGCAAGAAATACAAATGTACTTAGATTTACGGCCCTTTTTAGCAAGGCATATGTAACAACATCTTTTTATAGCAGCATCTTGTCTTTTAGCTGGTGGCTCTGAGAGCTTTCCTCTATGAAAGCTAATTCTCTTCCTTAGGTTAATCGGAAACCACGTCATCCTCAATTTCATGGATCTTGATCTAAAATTTGCCTTATTTCGGTATTGGTTAATCGCCTGGCCATATTTAACTGCGAAAATATTATACAGATAAATAATTTACCACACAATGCAAAATAAATAATGAAAACAAAAATAATATCTTACCAGTTAAAAGTTGCGCCGCGTGCCTGGTCGGGTTTCTCAGACCCGAGCGCACATAAAACACGTGTTACTAGAACGCGTGTGCGTTGTGGATTGCTGGAGGGGCGGCAATCTATCCGCCAGTCTATATCACGAAGCTACTTAGGCATACAGCGGCGGTAATTACGAAATTTCTAAAATATTGTCGATTCTTTAAGGTGATGGGTCTGTCAGACCCACCAGGCACCCCAAGGGTTAAAGATTGTAAGTGAGCTGAGTATGTGTTTTGAAATCAATTTTGGGATCGATAAAATTTTAAATCGTTTCACAAACCATGACATATGTTAGTATTAGTTATGGCAGCGTATTTTACAGGTTAACGTATTTTATTTTAATGAATACAATAACACACGTGTCGTTCCTAACATAATATAACATCACGCCTTTTATCTCTAAAGGGGTAGGCAGTTGGTGCACATTACGGCACTTAATGTCACTGTACAATGTAACACCCACTTTTCACTATTTATGTTATGAGTCCCATGTAATATGGGGTGAGCCTATTGCCATATACCGGGCACAATTCCAGACTCCGTGCTACTACTGAGATTTTTTAAACCCAGTAATGCTTTGCCCGACCCGGGAATCGAACCCGAGACCCCTTGCCCGGCAGTTGCACTTGTGACCACTCGGCCAATGGGGCAGTCTCGTTCCTATTATTAGAAATCACTTGAAGTTATTTTTAAAAAAGAGATACATCAGCGAAACTGATTTTAATTTAAAAACCTATTGAAACGAAAACCAAAAGCGAATATCCGCAAACATTGGAATCCAAACATAAATATTTGCTCAAGGCGGAAATCGAATCCGCGACACGAAACGTAGCGTATTAATATAACAGATTAAATATTATACGATATCAACCATTGTGTTTATGGTATTTTGTTGTAATTGGATTTCTGATTTTTTGGGGTTCAGCACAGTCTTACCTATATATTGAGAACGTATGTCAGGTTTTCAGTTTCAAATCCAATGTCGAGCAAATGCATCAATTTTCAATTATAAAAAATCGAGTTAAGTAGTTACTTAATCAAAGTACATGTAATCTTTACTTTCTTAAAATGTATCATTTTAATTAAATTAGCAAAAAGCTACCTCAGAATATATAAAAAACAACTGTAATAAAAATAACCACTAAATGTTATTTTAACAAAAAAATATAACTAAAATCAGAACTACGTTATAAACAATGACGTCATATTTTATTGCTAAAGCGTTTCATTCAACAATTCCCCACTACAAGACCTGTTAAACTGACACTAACAGATCCATACAATTCTCCACTGGCTATAGTTATCGGTAGCGAAGAGAATCGTTTTTCAAACAATATAAATAATAGTAGTTTAAACTGACACAAACAGTTGATCGCGCGCAGCCGCCGGACAATCACTCCAGTGTAGTGATCTGATTGAGTTATGCTTCAATGACCACGATAAAAATGATAGCAACACAGCTAATTCTAATTTCTTTTGTTATAACCACCAATGCACTAAGCATAGGAACTGTGAGTGAACAAAATGTGACAAAACGTGAAGCGAACCTAGGTGACTTGTTCCCGGATTGGGTACCTTTCAAGAATAAACACGGCGAGGAACTTGGAGAATTCGTTCAGGTTGCCCGAAAACCTAAGAAGCGGTTAGCACCACCTGTTAACTTTGTGCTTAGAGCTGTAGCCGAATCAGACGACGACTACTATGAAAAAGGTCAAGGTGAGAGCGACAGTGATGATTATTACGAAAAAAAAGATTGGTCTGACATCAATAGATCACCACCATCCCGTAATCCTAATAAAGTATTAAACCATACTGAAATTTCTGAAATAGACGGTGTTGTTAATATAATTACGAAAAAAGCACCAAATGCTGTGGTAGATGCCCTCCAGAAAGCAAAACAGAAAAGTACCTCAGAATTAAGAGAGAAAGAAGAAAATGAAGCTTTTGGAATAAGGGATAGCGCTGAAGAAACGAAAATACCAAGTAGTAGAAAGAAAGCAAGGAATTATGAAGATGAAATTGATTATGAAGACGGCAATACTGAAAAACGGAAATTATTAGAGCCAATAGACGAAGATCAAAGTGACAATGAAGCTAAGAAAGCTATTTTAGATATGGTTGACGAGTTGAAATTACGTCATGCTAAAGAACAAGTAGCAATAGCAGAAAAAGCTAAAGAAGAAGAAATTTATAAAGAAGAACTTGAAAGGCAAAAGATTCAAGCGCAGCTTTCTCCAGTAGAAAATGATAAATATGATGATAGGCCAAAATCGAAGAAGAAGTATCCAGACTACGATGAGTATGATGAGAAATATGTGTCACTTGATGAGAAATACAAAGTGAGTCCAGAAAGAACGAAACCAACGACAACACGATCCCCGAAACGAACGAGCAAACTCAAAGAAAAGAAGGAAAAGAAGATAGAATCTGGTAAATTATCCGTATTCAAGAATCCACAATTGTACATAGTGTATGACGACGACAGTGAAGAAACAACTACTGTAAACTCAAAACCACGACAATCAAACACTGTAAAACCGAATAAACCAGAAAGATTCTCGGCAAAATACTCTGCTGCACCCGGAGTAGTAGATTTAGTAGAAGGTAATGAAAGGATATCATTAGTACCAGAAGAGAATGAAGGTAAAGAAGGAGAACCAACTCTATTCTTCCCTAAAAGAAGAAAGAATAAGAAACGCAAGAAGCCCGCAGCCGATTTATCTGACTCTACTTCTAGTCCAACAACTGAACAAGAGGTTAAAAAAGAGAAGAATATTACTACAAAGGCCCCAGTATTTGACACTATCTCTAATGAAACGACAGCTTCAGACAATACCAGTACTGGTATCACAGGATCTGATACCACTGGTTCAGATTCCATAATAATTGACACCACCCTTCAGACTGGACCGTCAGGATCTGATGCTGTGTCAACAAATAGTGATGCGGTAACTGATGCTATACCAGCTTCGACCCATCACCACAAGGAACCGGAGAAGAAAGAAGAGAATTATCATCGAGAGAAGGGTAAGTGATTTTATTTAATCTCGTAGACAAGATTATTCTTATATTTGATCTACGTAATTATTATTATCTGCAGAAAAATTTATAGGTACTGACAATTCTTTTAAACAACATTAAAAAAAAATATTTGTCTAAAAACGAAGTCAGTTAAAAACGTAATCTCACAACTAATAAAATACAATTACCCCCACTTCCCCAATCTCCCCAATCCCTGAATCCCCAACAATCCTCAAATTGCTAATCCCCAAAAGGCCGGTAACGCACCTGTAATGGCTCTGGTGTCTCAGGTAACGCCGTCTTACCATCAGTTTTACCGGCTTTTCCTATAAAAAATCCAAGTTTTTATACAGTTATGAATTACTACATTCCCATTTTTGGGTATTGATCCATAAAACTTATGTTTGCGTAGATTATTTTCGTCATTGATAAACAATTTCTATTACTACTTACATTCAAAGTTTTATGGTGCAAAGTTTACGTTTCGGGTCACTTTTGAGTGCCAAACCTCTCAACTTACTTGCGCAAAATCAATGCAATTTAAACTACTAGATACTGGAACTAAAGCAACCAAACAATGGTAAAATAAATAAATAAAAATTTAAGTACCGACCAACTGAACTCGATACTCAAGCTTAAATTACTAATGAAGGAGATATTTGAATTACAACGGATTATATTTCACTTAGAAAGTATAATAATGTTGCCTTTCTGGGAAATTATTAAAGTTTTCTTAGAATAACTTAGTATTTATAAGTCAAAAATGGATATCTTTACTTAAACAATATCTACTTCTTACTTACTTTGTAATAAAATATACTTTAATTGAAGTTAATATTACACGATTATTAATTTAAAGACGGCTAGACTAATTTCCGTGATCGTTAATTACATTTTAAATGAATAGGTAATTTTCTTTTGTTTCACCTTTCAATTTTCCTGGACGGGACTTAGGTCGATGTAAAATAATATTTGTTCCACATTCATCTAACGTTTAACTTCGAAAACTATCTAATCTAAAATGTGATTTAATTCATGTAGGTTATGATAAGTATTCATTATTCACAGTCGCTAGTTGTGAGATATTGGAAATAAAAAAAATAAAAAATGATTATTAGTAATTATTCCATACCCAGAAAAATATATTATAATCAGTTACATCTATGATCAGTGTGAACCCATTTCATAAAAGGTCATAATGAATAGGTACTTTTTACATCAGTATACTAAAAAAATATGCAATATAAAAACACATTTCATTCCCGACCCATGAATTTTTTTATCCAAAAATTTTAAACGACCTCCACGAAAAGTTTTAAATTAATCTATAAAATAATATGGCATTGCAATTCGCATAGTGGGCCAACATGAAACGACTGTAGATAAAACTTGCGTAAAACTTCGCTTCTCATAGATACGTATATATTGGACCTTTCATCCAAATTTGCGGAAATTGTAATACAAAAAAATATGAGTACATTTCACCTTCTCAAAAGTTGTATCATAGGAATGAGCAATTCCCTTCCTGCCCAAAAACATCGAACATACGAAAGACTTTGCTCTCTGCAAAATTGAACTCTTAACTCACAAGAATAAGGGTTACAATTACCGAAATTGTTTGTTTAATATAAAATTGCCGTATAATAGAGTATATACATCCTAATTTCTTCGACAAGGTTTTCGTTTCAGAGTTGCTATGTGTTACTCCACAATTTTTGATAGTTATCCGACTTTTATTGAAGAAAAACATGAGATTTTTCGTAAATAATGAGAAGTTTTTCCTCAAAGTAATGAATCTCTGCTCCCCACGTAATAGGGTGGGCATTATTGATTACTTATTGTAACTGATTGACATTGTATTATATCTTGACATCGGTACGATAGTTTACTTGTGTATTTTTTTAGTAATTGGGTATTAGAAAAAATGACAAGTTGTTATGTTCGCAGTTGCTGTTTTAGAGATTTAGTGACGTCATAACTATGAAAAAAAAAAATTGTTGTATGTATGAGTATTTTTTCAATAACTTCATTTGTTCGTTATTTTAAACTCGACCTCTCAATGTTTAATGCCTAAGCTTCATAAACAGTTTCCCCGTTGATTTAGTGACCGCGAAAGTGATTACTGACCGTGGTATATCGAGTTTGAGAGTGAAGCGTCCAAGCGAAATATTAGGTGTTTCATTACCAAGTTTGGAGTATTATATTGATTTATATATAGTACAGTTCATCTAAGACTGGAGTATCAAATGGAATGTTAGAATAATGTTATTTTAGTGTAATTAAACTGTAACAGGTAGTTATTATTGTTACTAGACAACGTTGTAGTTTACTTTAGAGGTCTTGCTGTAGTTCGAAGTTTCTTCTTTGAGATTTCAATTGTTTTCTGTATTCCGAAGTAGTAGTGTATATACTATTGTTTAGTAATGCAAATTCTGGTATCCTTTTTAGACTTTTTAAATTAATATGTTATATGTATATCGTACCGAAAATCTCCGAAGTTTGTTCATACAAAAGTCGTCTCTAAATATCGGTATTAAGGTCTATTGTGGGTTTAACAACGCTTGGGGATTTAACAGTTTAATTCTTTTTATGGCACAAGCCGGTAAACGAGCATACGGATCATCTGATGGTAAGCAATCAGCGTCGCCCATGGACACCTGAAACACCAGAGGCGTTACAAGTGCGTTACCGGCCTTTTGGGGATTAGGAGATTCAGGATCGTTCGGGATTCAGGAATTGGGGAGATTGGGGAAGGGTAGGGTAATTGGGCCTCCGGTAACCTCGCTCACTCGACGAAACACAACGCAAGCGTTGCTTCACGTCGGTTTGCTGTGAGGCCGTGGTATGGCTCTTCCACACTTAAAATTGTAATCTAACTTATTCGGCAGACCGAATAAGTTAGATTCATGAAAGAAATTGATTTTGCTTTTCTGCTGGCTGTACCAAGTATACAATTCTATTCTGCATCTGTAGCTAAATGCCATTTAGCGCTTGTCTACTTGTAGAGCATAAAACTAAATTATATGGGACTAGCTTACCCACGGCTTCGCTCGCGTCACAAAAGGATAAAAAGTAGCCTATGTGACATATACCAATACATACAGCGCCATCTATACCGATACTTTTTTTCCCTCGGGAATATCAATATTTTTCGGGATAAAAAGTACCCTATTATTTAATCCGGACTTCTAACTTTACATCTGCAAAAATTCAAAGCAATCGGTTTAGTAGTTACGGCGTGAAAGCGGAACAAACAAACTCACTTTCCGATTTATAATATTAGTAAGGATTGACGTAGATTTTGACATTTGTCAGTGTCATCCCCATACATTTAGTTTTCTACTCTCTCTGTAGACAAGCGCTGAAGTGGCGTTTGGCTAAAGGCACTGAGCCGAAATACATTGCCTGTGTCTAGAAACAGATCTAGCCGTATAATTTATACTCTTTAGTGTACCCTTGTAATACAAGTGTTTGTGTGTCCATTAGGAAGTTAATTATTCATCATCCACTTACTGGAGTTTCCAGATTTTTTGGTTTTTCGTTCTAACTAAACTTTACTTTTTATTTTCGGTTAATTTATATGTGAATTAGACTTGTCTGGCCTATATTGGAAGCGGGTTGATTATTTTTGAATTACGTTAGACATTTGATTTTTTCATTTGAGTGCATATCACTACTATTTTTTTTTCGAAAACCATTGCCCCGTATTAGTATATTCTCCTGTGTCGTGGATATGTTTACAAACATACAATTTCACATACACACATGACATCCAGATCCGAAGCAACACTGTGGATAACACAGAGTTATTTCGTGTGGGAATCGAACCAGCGACACGTTACACGGCAGCTAGTTGACCGGTCACCGCGCTAACCGTGCAGTCATTACCACCACCACTAATACTATATCTGCTATATATCATAAGATATGTTGTCGTGTAGCAACGGAAGGGCATAATATATATTCGTTACCACTGCAGCTCTTTCTGTGGGTATAGTAATATGACTGCCTCGTTGGCCGAGTGGTCGCAAGTGCGACTGCCGGGCACCGGGTCTCGGGTTCGATTCCTGGGTCGAGCAAAGTATTACTGGGTTTTTAAAAAAATGACAGTAGTAGCACGGAGTCTGGAATTGTGCCCGGTATATGGCAATAGGCTCACCCCCTATTACATGGACTCATAACATAAATAGTGAAAATTATACAGTGGCATAATGTGGACCTCTGCCTACCCCTTCGGGGATAAAAGGCATGATGTTATGTTATCTTATAATATATATAATATAAAATAGATAATGTTATTGACGGACATATAATGACCAGATTGGCGAAATATTAAAGAAGGGCCAAATTAAAAATACCCATAACCGACGAGCATGCATAAAAAGATTGATGATTGTATGTAGGAATCGTAGTAATTGGCGTTCCCTAGTAGATAGGCGTGAAGTTATGTAGGTATGTATAATTTCATTGATGAAAATAACCACATAGTTTAAAACAAAGTCGCTATCCGCCGTCTGTCTGTCCCTATGTATGCTATGGTCTTTAAAACTCCGCAAAGGATTTTGATGCGATTTTTTTTAATAGATATAGTGTTTCTTAAACTGTCAAACACCACGACACCGGTGTCCGCTATTTTTCTTTAATTGTGTCTGTAATGACGGTACTCAAAGGGTTAAGGAAGGTTTAATGTATAATACATGCATATTGCACACATGCGAAGCCAGGGCGGGTCGCTAGTATTGAATAAACCTGATTCTTTTAAACAGCTATGTCTAACCCAAAAAATACTTTTGGCTACAATAGTCCCTATTTTGTAAAAGACACGTAAAATCATAGGACTTCCAAACATATATATATTGATACAACCAAACAATTATTTATCTTCGAAACTAAAATACGGATATTAAACAAATTGATTAAAACATTTCAATAAAAATACTTTTTTTTCCAATCAAGTAAGTATTTCACGCACTGTGCGTAGTAATATTCGTTGCGCACTGGACCGT